GGTAATAACCTGGGCCTGGGCAGGACCTCCCCAGCCTTGGAATCTTTAGCAGTGCCAGACCCCCCTAACATCTGTCTAGCCTGCTCTGGAAACCCTCTGATGAAGTCTGCATCATTACTCAATCCCCCCTGTGGTTAGAAAGTTTTCCTCCCAGTCATCCTAATGCATCTTGGCTGAAAATTAAATTGGTTTCTTTGGAATTCCCTCAAGTGGAAGGAGAACAATAAGCACCAGCCTTTGCATAACTTTCTCATATTGGAAAGACTATCACCATGATTTCTCTGTAGATTTATCAGTTCCCACAACTTTTCTTCATAGATCATGTTCTATAAATTTCAGATTTTCCTGTCACCCTCCACTCAATTTAATATGCTTTCTTGATATGTAAAATATGGTGCCCAGTGTAGCTCTTTAGCTGTGCACATTCCACTGCAATTTTTTTTTCCCCACAAGGACATTATGTGTGACAAAATCAAAAGCTGAAATCAGGACAATTCAGCAACATCTTACCCCTTTCCCCAGGCTAGTTATTCTTTCAGAGAAAGAAATCAGATGGATTTGCTGAGAACAAATCACTTCAATCTTCCATTACCTTTTACAACCCTCTTATCATCTGAATAGTTAGAAAGATTTTTTTTTTAAGACTTGTTCCAGTGTATTTTCAGGAATAGTGATTGGGTGATTTGTTTATGAATTCCAGAACCCTTTGAAAAAGGTACATAGAACACTTACACCTTTTTTTATGATTATGTCTTCCCTCATCCTCTCAATTGTCAGAATATAATTTAGCATTTGCTGAACTGAAACCCATGCTGGTGTTTCACTCCTGTGAAATTGAATGATTGATGGACTTATCCTAAGAACTTCCTAGAGAGAGAGTTAGATAGCTAAAAATTCAAAATATGTGTACAGAAGCCATCCAGCTTCCCACTCCAAGCAAATCCAGAGGTGAAGGTTCCCACTGCAGGTCAGGCAGTACCCACCATGTACTTGGTGACACCCAGCTGTGCTTCCTGGCTTTGCACATTCAAGAATGAGCAAATTCACGGATTTAAATTGTCAAAAAATAAGTATAGGGGGAAAAATTACTCCTGATGATGCCAGCAGCTTCAAGGGATTGGAGAGGTCAGTGATATCTTCCAGCAGCTGAGAGTTATTAGGTGGGTTTTCCTAAAAAGTGGTGTCTCGCCAGTGCAGTGCAAGGAATACATCACCAAATCCTCGCTTATTGGAAAGAAAAAAGGGAAGAAATCAAATCTGAGGAATACTAGCAGAGTCCAAAAGCTTTGGCTTTGGGGTTTTATGCTCATTACTATAGCATTTCAAGATGTTTTCTCCTATCCAACACATCTCTTGCACAGACTTCCAGCCCAGTTGCTCCTCGAGTGCACGGCATATAGTTCACACTGTGGTTTGACTATTGTAAATACACATCACTTCTAAATAAACTCATAAGCACTCAAGAACTGTATGTATGTGTGTAACTATGTATGACAGCTCTTCAGAGTCCTTAAAGTTGTAAACACACTGATACAAGCAACCCTTTACAAGCTATGGATCACTCCCAAGGTGGATTGCAGACACTGCCAGGAAAAAAAATAATTCAAATGCCATTTTCTGAGTTGCAAGGGAATTACCTTACTCTGTTCTGTCCCACAGTATCACCCTGCCAGTCCTTCACCAATACCACTGCAAGGTCACACCTCAGTCAACACAACTGTCACGCCTTCTGTGTCCCAAGGAACAGGAGAGGGAAGTGGGAACCAGAGGCAGGGACCTGGTCCCAGCCTTGCCACCCCTTCCCCACCGTGTTTCTAGCAGTGGGATGGAAGCATCACTGCAGTTATAAGGTTCCACACGTGCAGTTATAAGGTTCCACATGTGAGTAAGGTGGTCGCAGGATGGGCTGCAGGTTTGTGCTTAGTTGAAGGGAAACTTTCACTGGTAGTGAAAGGCAGGAAAATTGAAACCTTTAGCAAACATTAAATGCCCTTAGAAAGAAATTGCTGTCTTTGTGAGCTGCCACATCTGAAGAGTTGTAAGGTACCACAGGAAAAAAGTCTTTATGAAGAGCTGATTCATGTTTTATGTCACTTGTGCACTAACTAACTACAGACTTCTGAAATTATGGAAAGGAGGAGAATATTTTTTGTAATTATTTTTTTGTAATTATTGGCTACTCAGGCCACTGAAAGAAAGTATGTTTCTCTGGGTACAACTAATTCTGCTTGTGGTTTCAGAGACCCCTGCCAATATTTCAATAATATACATATTATGAACTGCTACAGCTGGCAAGGTGTACCTGTGTTGTCTATTCCAGGGAAGGATTTTGCTGCCTATTCAAAATGAATAGATTCAGAAGTGGAATCCAGCATGGAAAATGAAGGAAGGTCAGGGGAAGGGTAATATTTATGGAAGATTGAGCATTTTAGTGTGCTACTGGCTTCAGGGTCTGCACTCCCTAAAAATACGGAGTTTTATGCACTGGAGTGCTGAGCAGACAGAGTGTAAGTAAAGGATTTGTTTGAACCTTCACAAACAGCCAGTTGCTTAGTATTCAACAGAGAAAAGAAAAGGTACTTCTGCATTTTATGTTGCTCCAGAGCAGAAACATTTTACCCAAATAAGCAACCCAATGAATGCTTTTCAATCAACAAGAGCAAAGCCCTCTGAAACACACCTTGGTGCTGGCACTCGTATGGCAGATGCATCTTTCTGGAATGTCTCTCAGTGTTGGGGAACAGCATGGAACTAGTGCATGGACAGCTGTGAGACAGCTCTAAAGGGTGGATCAAGTGCACCAGAAGATAGGAAGATGGGTCTGAGGGTCTGAGAGAGACATGGGGGCAGGTACTTGATACCGTTCAAGAACTGCCAGCCACAATTAAGTTGCAGATAAACCATGAGAGTTAGCACTCCATGGCTGAATTCATCGTCTGGAAATACATGAGTGCTAGTGAGCTGAAAAATGTGGGAGAACTATACAATGCCAACAGCTGCCTGGTTCAAATGTGTGAATCTAACAGGACTACAAAAAATTCTCATCCTGGTGTGACCAACCATTCATAGGACCAATGTTTGTGTCCTGAGCATACCCAACCTGTAAATAATATTAACTTTCCATGTTGGTAGCCAAATGTGTGTGCTCAAAGACTGAATGGACATGAATGCTACACAACAGAACATCTTTTCTACACCTACAGAGCCATTTTGATAGAAAAGAGGATGAAAATATGAAGTCCTGTAAATAAAGAAATATGGAAAACTGTCCTTACTAGCAACCAGAAGAAAACAATTTTCAGAGCTTCCAATTATCAGTCTTTAAGCATTAAACTCAGGGGTGGGAGGACACAGGGGAAGCAGCACAACAAAGTAAAAATACTGACTCTAAAAACACCCTTGCAGATTGCAGCAAGGGAACTCATGGATCGGATAAGAATGAGAAGGAATTGAAGCACTTTTCTTCTTCATAGCACACTGCTTTGGGTCCCTGGTGCAAAGCACATGAGCACATCATCCCTGCTCTTCCACACCCTTCCAAAGGCTGAGGCTGAGGCCTCGCATCAACATTTTTAGGATGACAGTGGCCAAGAAATAAAAACAACTTACATATTTGCTCAATGTCTTTTGCAGAGTTCCTACTAATATCAGTTAATCACAAATGGACTATACCCTGTATTTCCTAACCCCAACTTAGAACTGATTTTTGTCTTGATTAATTCAATTATCAGACTTGGATTCGTTTTAGCTGGAACATATTGGACCTCTGACTCCTCAGACTCATTTTCATGTGCCTGGGAGCAAAATTCCAGTTATATATCTATATATTCACTCTGCAGCAACTCTTTCCATATCAGGCATAACTTTGCTCACATCCGCAAACCTCCCCGAGCAAGAAATGAGCAGTGCTCCAAGGATCAAGGATATAAAAGCAGGTCCTGCTCCCTGCTCTGTTTCTATGCACATTTTTTTCCCTGTAGTATATAAAGTGACTTACAGGAAGCTACCAGTAGTGGAAAGTTGTAATTCATTGGAAAAGAATCTGTGCTTTAAGGAACAGGTACCTTCTTACTGGATCTCAAATAATATATCACATAATGCAATTATTCTATGTCTCCTGGTCATCACATGGTCTTGGGGAAATCAGAGTCAGATTTTTAATATTGAGTATGTAAGGATCCTAAGGAATTACAGACTACATAGAACTGTTCTTGTCTGCATAACCAAACCCCTCACCAGAAACAAGCAATTTTTAAAAATTATGATCCGTCGTCCATTTCACACATACATACATAAAAAATAAAGTGCAATAAGCATTCTTTGGGATGGTTGCTTACCCAAAACATGCCAGACAATTACACGGTATGCTGTTTTAATTAGAAACTCTCCCTCTCAACAGGTCCCATTTGAAATGTGTGACACTCCTCTTTACCCCATGGCTGGAGTAGAATTGTATTACAATCACATCTCCAGTCAAAGAACATTGCCATTTTTTCCTAGATCAGACACCTGCTATCAATTTGAATGGTATCTGATTGAATATTTGTGCAGGAAGGACAAGAATCAATTATTCATGAGTACTAAACAATAGACTGTATAAACACAGTTCATGAACCTGAATCCTTTACAACCTAGCTTATCTTCGATACATTTATAAGGGCAGTCACATCTTTTAAACAACTGACATATTTGAGGCCCCCAAAAAAGGGGAGAGAAAAAACAGGAAACACGTTTTTGTTAAAGAAAATGTGAGGTGTTTTGGATTAGGTGGAGTTTGTGTTCTTTTGCTTATAAGAGTGGTAATATTTAACTGTTTAACCAAATTTAACTAAATATCTCATGTGACAGACATTTCCCTGAGACTCCCAGCTCACATTCTGCTGAATCAGGTCATTTGGGTAATTTAACTGAACACGAAAATATATGCAACTATTACATTCTTACCCATGAGTCTTGTATGAGTTTTGGACTCCTACCTGTTCCTGGCAATTTAGCAGAACAAAACATTTTGAGGTTCTTCCTGTCACTGGGTCTTCTCCATTGCAGGAACCTGTGTTGTTTCCCTGGCAGCTCCATCACTTTTGGGTTTCCAGCACAGTTCAATTAAGCTCAGCTGGGTCTGCAGTGCTGATATGGTTGGGCTCATGCCAGCTGAAATCCTGCACCTTGGTGTCTCAGCTGAGCGTGGCCATACAAACGTGGCTGATGTCAGATCCACATATCCAGGAAAAATGCAATCCTGACATCATGGTGGAATGATACAGTAGAGACCAGTAAATAATGTATTCTGTTAAGAAAACTCCCTCTCTCCAAACAAGGCTGTTAATGCTGCTGTCGTGTTTAATATATTTTTATATATACCCCTTTTATTTTCTGGGCTGGTTTTGCCCGGAGTTGAATTTATTTTCTTCACAGTAGATGGTATGGGCTGTGTTTTGGCTTGGTGCTGAAAACAGTGTTGATAATTCAGGGATGTTTTTGTTATTTCTGAGCAGAACTTACACAGAGTCAAGGCCCTTTCTGCTCCTCACCCCACCAGTGAGGAGATTGGGTAGGGTACAAGGGATTTTAATATATTTTTATATATACCCCTTTTATTTTCTGGGCTGGTTTTGCCCGGAGTTGAATTTATTTTCTTCACAGTAGATGGTATGGGCTGTGTTTTGGCTTGGTGCTGAAAACAGTGTTGATAATTCAGGGATGTTTTTGTTATTTCTGAGCAGAACTTACACAGAGTCAAGGCCCTTTCTGCTCCTCACCCCGTGGGGTACAAGGGATGGTGAGGGGACACAGCTGGAACAGCTGATCCCAACTGACCCAAGGGATATTCCAACTCATTTGGAAACATATTCCAGCATATAAACTGAGGGAAGAAGAAGGACGGGGGTATGTTTTGTGTTCTGACATTTGTCTTCCCATGACACTGTCACACATGATGGAGCCCTGCTTTCCTGGGAATGGTTGGACACCTGCCTGCCATGGGAAGTGGTGAATGAATTCCTTGTTTTGCTTTGCTTGCTTGTGTGGCTTTTGCTTTACCTATTAAAATTATCTCAGCCCACAATATTTCACACTTTTATTCTTCCAATTCTCTTCCCCACTCCACTGGTGGGGGGAGGGAGAGACCAGTTGTGTGATGTTTATTTGCCAGCTGGGGTTAAACCACAGCATTTTCTTATGGCAATGGTTTATATTTCAACGTTTAAAGCATGTGACATTCTGGAATTACAGCATCTATATTTAAAGTTCCAAGATTATAGCTTCTAGTGGTGAGTGCTTGAACTCTCATGAAATACAATTTGATTTAAAAATCAATCCTCCGATTGAGTTTAAAAAGGCACCTAGTGCTGTTTATTTGTTTTTATGGAAAATAATACAGGCAATTAATTTCTTTCATACCTTAAGTGTCTGAGTTATGAAAGTCCATAATGCAACATGGCATGCTTGATGAATAACAGCTGAGGTGATTTAGTTTAGAGGAAGTGATTGGCATTCAGTGATTTTGATAAAAACTTGTGTGAGGTGCAACAGGCATCTCAGCTCTACAGCTGATTCACTGAAAACAAAAGCAGACTGAATAAAATTTCTATCATGTGAAGTTTTATGCTGGGGAGTCAGATAGAAGGAGGAGGACGTAATTCTTTCCTAGATCTAGTAGCTGCTGCTTTAAGAAAAGAAATGACAAGGTTATGGGTTCTCCCTCTGCCATGCACCTCCTTCATAAATTTTAGCATTAAATTATAAATAAAACATATGAGGACTCAGCTCAACAAGAAATATGTCTGGACTTTGGCACTGTAAAGGTCTGCACAAATCCATACAAGCTGCTTAACATTGATTTTCTTTGGCGTCTTTCGCAGCCCTATGCGGGCTGCAGTGGAAAAGGCAGACATGTCTTTTATTGTATCAGGCCCTTTGCCATTAATTACAGACATGCCTTTCCTTAATGACTGGGCACAACTGGCCTGTTGATCCCCTGGCTGGATCACCAGAGGATGGAATCAACAGCACAGATGGGGAGTGTGGGCCATTTGCTATTCCTGGCCTCCCTCTTCTCCCCATCCTCTTCGCTCTTTGCCAACGGGAGCTTGGGGCCGGAACCCCAATGGGCCAAATTTTCCTCACTCCCTGCTCCTTCTGCAGTTTCTTCAAAGCAAAAGTAAGCCAGCACACATCTCCACTCACCTTCAAGCAGAGGTCAGTGGGGAAAGCAAGAGGAAAGACTCATCTTTCATACACCTAGAAGTGAAAAACTCCACGGCAAAGCCAATATTAACTTCTCGCTCAATGTGGAGAGCTAACCAAACTGCCTGAGTCTGCAGAACTGAGTGGAAAAGCTGAAAAAAAATTAAAAATAAAAAGTTTTGCTTGTGGTATTTTCACATCTTCACTCTGGCGCTGGCTAAAAAAGTAAATGGTCTTGGTGGTTGGTGCACAGGGCCAGGAGCGAGGAGCCCTGGGCTCTATTCATACCTCTGCTACTGACTCACGGACGCAAACTGTTTGCACAAAATTCTTGAAAAGCATTTGTTAATCTTAAGAGCCTGTTCTTTGTGCATAAACAAGTAGAGACATGTGGGCACTGAGCATCTACTGCTTTCCATAAAGCCAAAGAGAAATTCTGGCGCACAATGTGCCACTGTTAACCATCCAGACCAAGACATGGACCTTCATTCTGCAAGCACAAAGCACGCTTCCATCTGAGTCAGAAAGACGAGAACTCCTCCTGTGCCTAAGAAAGATTATTCTAGAAGATGCAGGACTTGGCATTGAATCATTACACCAAAAATTGCTGGACACACGAGCTTGAGAAATTACTGTTTCTCTCACCTGCTAAATGGACATTAATCATGGATCATAATTGTCCTTTGACCTCCTGTTCTGGTGTGCCAGTAAACCTGGCAGTTCCTCAAGATCAGATCTGTTTCAGAAAAACAAAGTTTGCTGTAGTATTTTAAAGAACCTTAGAAGATTGTTTGATTCATGTCTGTGCATCTTTCAACAAATGTTTTTCAGAGGATAATTTTTAATTTTTTTCAGTATTCCCTTGTGTATGACAGGTACGTTGAATTGCTTTTCTTAATAAACCTTTCATATCAATGGCATTCTCCTGGTTAAATTGTGCTTCTTGAGCAAGAGCTACTGAAACATGTATCTGATTAGGAAAAACCCATGTTCATGTTAATTTCATGTTTTATTTATTTTTACTTACCTTTGACATATTTCCTGGAAGATCTATCAATATTAACCCATCTCCATGATTGGTTCATCCAAATAATGACTGTTGAGCATGTAAAACAAATTGGGCAAGACCCTGCATGAAGAGCAGAAGGTAGAGCTCTCATCAAAATCAATTCTCTCTCAGATATAAAAGGTCATTGATAATTATGCGCATGAATCTAAGAACGAAATTTGCCTCATTGAGTGGTATTACCTCTTCACTTGCAATCACACAGTAAACAGGAAAAAGACAGAATTGACTGAAACATCCTTGCTGTTGTCCTACCAGCTGAACACTCTGTTTCTGTCCACAACTCACTTTCTGCTGAATTGCCAGCATTCAGCATTTCAAAACCTGATGCATTTTCTTTGCCCAGGGCAGATTATACATGGCATGTTTTTCCCCTCAACTGACTTTACAATTATTGTGCTCCTGGAGAATTTTCCTCCAGAATTATTCAAATCATGTGGGAATTTATTTGCTAATTGAAGAAAAACTTGGTGTTTTACTATTACTATTAAGGTCTAGATGTGAAGTCCTGAATCTCTTCCTGAAAGGCAGAGAAAGGTTTTGTGTTCAGGAACTCTGCCTGGTCTGTTGTGGTGCTAACAGATCCATATTGTCATGCTGCTGGTCTCCACTGGAATGCCCTCATCTCCAAGGGACAAAGGTATTTCATCACCTCTACTTCCTTCCACAGTCTGAGCAAATCATTAAGGAAAAAAAAGAAAAGTAAAAATCCAAATAGATGCTATTGCTCCATGAGCAGAACACAATCAATAATATTGTTACAATTTAATATTTGAGAGAAATATGTTTAGAGAAAACAAGAAATGAGAAAATCAAATCAACCATGTCTTAAAACGCCTGGTGAACATGTCCCTGGCCTTATGTCCTTTATGGAAATTTTGCTTATACAAGAGATAACTCAGCAATGCAGTCAATAACTGGCAAACTTGATACTTCCAAAGGCTCTAAGGGGGAATGTCAACCAACACTGATGAGCAGCTTTGATCCCTTGGCCTTTCAGATGCAGGCTGACAAGTTAACCAGCTTTTCTTCCTCAGTGGGGAAGAGGGTTTTCATAGCCTGTATTCCTACAAATAAAATGCAATCCAAAAGTGCTGGGCACATGCCACATTTCTTAAAAGGGTAAGATTACCAGCGCCTCTCGATACACTGCGGGATGCCGATGTATGTTTGTACTCAGTGTGGTTTTTCCAGTGAAAAAAAGGGAACAAAAGCAATCCATGGAATCTCTCACACATGGGAAATACATCCATAAGGCAGAGAAGCAAAATGGAGTCTACTTGAGCTAATTTCTCCTCACTTACTTGTATGTAACTCTACAGTAATGGACCATTGGAATAGCTTGGCATTATCTCTTAGAATTAAAACTCTGCTGAGTAACAACTGGAAGTGTTCTTTCCCTGTGGCTCTGAGAAGGAGGATCCCTTTATTTATGAAACAGCAGCAGAGGCAATGTTGGGCTGCATAGGCAAAGAGATTAAAGGAGATCTACTGGTGACTCAAGTGTTACTCAGGGTGAAGTTATGTATTTACTCCTTCAGTGTGACAAACTCTACTGGAATGTCACCACAGTGTCACACACCTACAGCAAAAAAGGTCTTAGGGTCAACAGACCTACAAAGGCCATGTCACTTGGCTGCACTCATCTCTAGTCTAGGGGCAGGATCTTCTATCTATAAATCAGAGCAACCATCTTAAAGCCCTTACAGAAACAGCACTTTGTGCTGGCTTCCAGATTTTTTTATGTACATTTAACTACTTTGAGAAGTGGTCATTATTTATTGCTTCAAAAGGAGAGAAAAGACCTGAAAAGCATCTAGGTAAGATTAAGAAAAGGGATAATGTTCTTAACCTTCTCAGGCACAGATTCTACAGCTCTTATTTATTTTTCTTAGGTTGTCCTATGTTTCCATAGCTACAAATGTTATTTGTGGTTGGAAATTATGCACTCTCTTTTTATCCCCCCTATCTCATAAACATCTATTTGAATTTTAAATATAATTCTAAGGGTTTGGTGATTCTCTTGGTTGTTGTTCACCAGTACAATATTTCCATCATGTTGTGAAAACTGTAAGTATTTTTAATTTACGAAAATTGAGCAAAAGTGTAGGCTCTGTCATTTTGAGAAGTGGACTTCAGTCAAGCTTGGTATGGAATCCCACAGAATGTGTTCTTCAGCAGCTCTGTTGTTTGTATAGAGATATCTGGTAAAGTCTTTTGGGAAAACATACCACATATCTCTTTAAGGTCCAACCAAAATATCATCTATCCTGTCCTCAGTACAACAGCCTTGCTGAGATAAATAGTTGGGGGGGGAAATCTTCCACTGTAAATCACACTAACCAAACACTGCTGGGCCAAATTCTCTACCCTCTACTCCAGTGAGATACTCTTAGTTCAACAGGAAGTTTGATTACTGGACAAAATTTAGGAGGTTAAAATTAAGACAACATAACTGTGGTCCTCTAAGAAATTATTCTGTTCTTATTTTCTTGCCTCTCTTTTTCTTGGCACTGGGGGACTTTGGGTCAGAGCTAAACAGCTTATGAACTCATTTCCTAAAATTTTCAGTCTCCCAAAAGCTTGCTTTCCTTGGATTATTTTTAATTCAGCCAATTTGTAACACATATTCAGACTGTATCCTCCACAATATTTTATGATAAATCCCATTCAATTTCATATGTACGGTTGCAAGCTTTATTGCTTAACAAACATTTCATCTACTCTCCCATAATTTATATCTGAATGGGTTTATTATAGACATTGCATTTCATTCATTGTGCAGTTAATTCTGCAACATGCTGCCTGTTTTCTGTATGGCCACTCTACCATTATGTGCTTTCAGTACAATTGAATTTTTCCTTGGGAGCTTTATGAAATGGTTTATGAATATGTAATACAAATTGTATTAACAAGGCAAATGTACTTTTTATTCCTTTTGTGAGCATTTCCAGTCAATGACTAGTAAGAGAACAAGCATAGTAGCACATCTCCCTCAATTCCTATTCACCAACACTACCCATGCAATATTATTTTTAAAAGGCTCATCACTTCAAAAAAACCAGAGATGTTTAAAAGTCTTGGTTGGTGCTGCAGCCGCTCCCTGGAAGAGAACACAAGAAAGCTTTCTAACATCCCTTCTCTCTTTGTGGGAACTTCTTTCTCTTCAGACAAAAGGATATTTGGCAGATGTTATGTTGAAAAGGCATTCCCCTCCATCACCTCCATTTCAGGCAGTTGCCTTGATTACCATTATGTGTTTGTTTTTCATTTACACCCAGAAAGACCAATCCTGCTTCATCACATGCCTATTTGCATATTAAAATAGAGGCAATCCTTGCCCTAGAGCTGTGATTGACCATACACATCTAGTGAGACAAGCAGTGGATTTTATCAAAGAATGGGAGGAAGAACAGGGTCAGAGAGAGTTACAACATACATGACATTTCCTGTGGGTTCAACAACTGGAGGGGATTGCTGGAGGGACTATGTCATGTGAAGAGGAGCCATAGATGATGGTAAACAGCCACACAAATTTTTAAGGGAGCTCCTGGAATGACAGTCAACATATGCATATACTTGGGGAAAAAAAAAAAAAAAGAAAAAAAAACCAGCAATGTGTTTATTTACCTAAATTAGTTTATTTCCATTTGATAGAAAGCAATTTGCACACCTAGAAATGAAGGCAAGCCCTTGGCTTCTGAGAACACATGATGCTTCCATATAAAGGGAAGCAGAGGCTTATTTTACATCACAACCTCAAAGGCTACCACAACGCCCTTGTTAAACTTCACAGGGGGATTTGCTAATGCACTTTACCTGCTCACACACTTTCTAAATCTTCAGATCTGTCTCTGATTTGAGAACATTTAAAACCCTGATAAAAGCTCCTATTAAAAACCCCATCCTTCCCTCACCATCTTGGCCAGCCCACTTTCTAGAACAACACTGTGTCCAGGCACTGGCTGATGACTAATGGTTTGCCATATGTTCTTACTTACAGTGCAGGGATTAATTCCTCAGCGACATGATGGGAAGGCTAGAGTCTCCAGCAGGAAATAATGTGGTACTGACAGAAAAAATAAAGGAAATGGAAAAAGTCTGAATATATTTCTGCTCAACTGTACAGATTACAAGAAGGGACAGTGCAAAAAAAGATTGCTGCTGGAATTCTGATTCTTTTGAAGTCTGACCATGGGCTCAGTAATGTCTGTACTATGAATACTGGGAGGAAAGCAATGCTTAACAGGATTGGTTTCCTCCCAGCATTAGACATAACAGATATACAGCAAGGTGGATTACAGGCGAAGGTTTGGCTGACTTCTGCTTTCAGAACTCCTGACATATGCTTGGAAGAAAATCCCCAGGTGTCATTCTAGATCTCTGGAGTTAGCCTGGATTTGCAGGGAAACCATCAAGAATGAAGAGCAAGTAGAAGTACAAGAAGGGACTCTCACATTTCACGAAACTCAGGCGCTTGTAGAAGCACTCCTATTTTAAGAAAGAGCCCTGCTTCCAAAGAAGGGATCTTCTGATCTGCCTTGCATATGCAAAGTGGGGTTCAGTACTGAAACACTCAAGCAGAGCATCCTGTGTTTTTCTAGATTAGATTCTTGGAAGGACTCAGAATTACCAGCGTGCACTGCTGAGCCATACCCACTCCTTATTAAATTCCTCCAATGACAATTTTACTGGTGTTTTATATTAGTGTTAACAAAGGACCTGAATAAGATGTAAGAAATGTTATATTTTAAATAAAAGTCCAGGTAATGTGCCACTGGGGACCTCAGGATCAAATGAGCTTTTATATTTTTATGTAGAATGTAATCACTTTTTTCATTATTGTGGTTGCTGCATTACTGTTATTAAAGAGTTTATTACCCTGTGGGGGATACTGCTCATTGGAATTATGTGCTTGCAGCCCAGCAGAGACAGTGTGCCTTCAACCCTTAATTCATGATACAGCCACAGGACAACAAAATGTCAGCACACTGGCACTGGTGTGACACACTGGGTGCCCAGTGGACTCCTCCTGTACCAGGCAGTCAGAGATACATGCA